AAAAAATTATTGAAAAATATTTATTTTTTTGATTTTAAAAATAAGGCAAAAATGAAGCTTTTTAAAAATAAAGCTTTTTAAAAATAAGGCAAATTATTTAGCTTTTCCTTAGCCTTTCCTTAAATTTGTAATTATGAATATTTTTATCAACTTTTGGAAAAATTTATTAAAAGAAAAACTGTAAAATAATTAAATTTAATATTTCGAATAAATTAATATTATTTTAATTATTAATTAATATTAATATTATAATAATATTATATTATTATCAATTATTTACAGAATTATTATCAATTTTAAGAACTTTTTTATTTATATTTTAATTATTTATTTATCAAAGTTTAATGAACTATGTTATTTAAATGAAAAGATAAAAATAATAAATAGATATATATAAAATTTATATATGTTATATTTAAAATGTAAAAAATAATACACATAATAAATAATGTCAATATAATAAATTTAATAATTTTTTGATTATAAAAAGAATTATTTAAATTATTTTTTATATTTTTTTATATTATTTTTAATATTTTATTCATAATTGTATTTATATAAATTATTTCAAACATAATTTTGAATAAATAAATGTGAATGAGAATATGAATATACACAAAATATTTAATATTTTTAAAAAGAGATATTAAATAATATCTAATATTTTATTATATTATCAGTATTTATAAAAACATTCTAAAATTTCATTATTTGATGTCAAGAAAAATCAGAATGAAAGAAAAAATAAACAAATTTGAAAAAAGTAAAAATGTTATTTTAAATATTTTAATTGATTGAAAAGAAAAAAAAAGTAGAAAAAAAAATAAAATACAAGAGAAACTTAAAAAATAAATTTAAGAAAATTGGAAAACTGAAAAAAGTAAAGAAAAAACAAAAAAAACTAGTTTATTTGAAAAATAATGAAAAGAATTCAATATTTAAAATTGAACTTATATTTGCGAATACTTTGGTAATTATATTTATAATCATTAGAAAATATATTAAAACTATTCCGAATTATTTAACAATTTTTACTTTTATGATTATTATATATATAAATAGTATTAAGCCATTTATGTATATTATGTATATACATGTAAACGTGTATACATTTTATAGTATTTTATGATCTCAAAATTATATTCTATCAAAATTAATTTAATTATTATAATAAAGTTGATTATTTTAATGCTTTTGAATATTGAATAATTTATATATATAAATAAAGTAAGATAGAAAAACATAAAATATTATATTTTTATTATTTATTATATATTTATTATTATTAAAAAAGATTTTAAGCATTAATCATTAGGAGAATTTTCTCTATAACAATATACATAATAATTTAAAATACAAATAAATAAATATAAATAAAATAAATAAAAAAAAATCAATAATAAATGAATATTTTTGTTATATAAAATTATATAATATTTTAATTAAAAATTATATTATTTTGTTTTGAAACTTTTTTCAAACAAATGTGATTTATTTTTATTCCTTTTGCAATTTGTAATTTATTAAAATCTTATTTGTCGATGATATCACATAGAACAATGAGATAGAATCTTTACGCTGGAATAATATTTTTGTCTGTTTTATTCCGTATGAAAAATTATGCAGCTATAAGAAAAATATTTCGATGTAATAATCAATTGATGATAAATTTAATAAATTCAAATTTTTTCTTTCATTTTCTGTTTAGAAAAAATAATTTTTTAGAAATGAAATATGAAATTTATTAATTTGATATTTATAATTTTTGTAATACAATTCTTTCGAGAAAAAATCTTTTTACTATAAACTAATTATTCAAATGTGGATAAATAAAATTGCAATAAAAATTTATTTTTTATTTTATTTTTTATCTATATTTTAATTTTAAATTTAATTATTTCATTGTTATATCCAATTTAATTTATCGTAATTATTATTATCATTATATAATAATAATGATATGATAATATCATTATCATAATTATAAATCATTATAAATTTGTATTATTATAATAAATTTATTATTTCATATCATATTTATTTTTTTTGCAATTGAATAAGAAGCATTATAATTATATATTAAATAGTTTAAATATTTTAATAAATTAAAAATTTTAAATATGTAGAATATATAAAACATTTGAAGTTACACGTAAAATTATTCTTATTTCAATTATAGATAATGCATATGTTTGTAGAAAGCCAAATATTGTGATAAGTAAAAATTAAAATATAATATTTAAAATATTAATAATATTTAGTAAAATAAATAATATTTTCATTCATAAAACAAATTGGCAAATAGAATGTTATAAAATGATTAAATTATTTGTCTCTGTCTTTTATATTGTCTTTTATAAAATCTTAAAAATTATTAATGGCACATAATTGTATGAATTTTTTTTGAAGCATGTTTTCATCAATTAATAGATGAATCTTTAAACAATTAAATTAATTTCATTCTTAAAAATTTTGAGTTAATCTACAAATTATTAATTAATAAAATATTATATTAATTACTTTTCTTAATTCCTTGATTCATAAATTCATATTTGAATATTCTTTTCATATAAATATATGTTCTTCAGCAAACTTACTATTAATATAATAAAAATTTTGTTTTTTTATATTATTCAATTTATTATTTATTTAAAATATTATTTTTTATTATAATGTTATTAATAAAAGTCATTTACAAATTTAAAATTTATATAAAAATTTTATTGTTATATTTGAAGCAATTTACAATTAATTATATATTATTATATTATATATAATAACGAAATATTTAAAAAAAATACAGTATTTCTCGCTTATTTCTGTTTTTTCATTCTGCTTAGAATTAATAGATGCAGAATTAATTACATTAATTTTTGAAATTGCTTTCATGGAAAAAATATCTATATCATTTCCGATTCGTAATCAATGATATCAATATATTATCGATGACTAGTTATTATAAAATATCAAAATATGAAAAATAAAATTTTTATCCATAGATTATTTTATCTACAAATTATTATTTATCTATTTTTTTATTTACAGATTAATTTAACGAAATTATTAAAGTTTCTCCGATAAAAATAATATTAAATAAAATTGTATTTACATGAATTTAATATATATACGATTAAATGACGAGCTTTTTTCTTTATTTCACTCACATTCAATTCAATGTTTTTCAATTTTGTCTTTGATACATTGAAGAAACGAAAGATGGTACATACCATATGGTCCATATCAATAACAGACGCGTTGCAGATCCAACATGCGTCTACTAAGCGAGGAATACTGTATTTAAAGAAGAAAAAAAATGAAATTAAAAAATTGTAAAATTTTATATTTTTCTCATTTCATTTTGTCATTCATAAAATCAAAGAATTGGTATTTATTTATGTTTTTTTTGTATAATCCCTTCACTAAAATAGAAAATAGTAAACAAATTTTCGAAAATAATAATAATATATTTAAAGATGTAAAGTGAAGATTATTTATCTATATTATAGGATTAAATTTCTTCATTATTATTATAATGATATTTCAAATCACTTTTTATTATTATCAAGAGATTAATCACAAAGAAACAGACATTTAACCATCACCCAATAAGAAATAGAAAAACATACCAGGGCAGTTCTTGGTGATGATACAATTATTTCCAAGAAGAAGAACATCCTGAAGTTGCATGCTGCGCCTAGCAACACCTAAGAGTAGATGTTCACCTGCGTGTGCCCTTAGAAGGGCCACTTGATCATCAAGAGTTAACTCACTAAAAGCTGGTATGTATTTGGCCCATTGAACCAAAACAAGAAGCTGTTCCTTCATACTGTCGCAAACGTCATTTATATTGGCAATTTGTTTCGTGCTCAAGTCGATCTCACTGCCTAGCTGTTTAAACATAATTTCGTATTATTCATTACTCGATTTATTGAATAACATAGTAGTTATATTATATATTTGATATTTTATTAATTAATAATTATAAGTTATTTTTAATAAAAGGAATATTATATATTATATAATACTTTTATAATATATAATGATATAAATTATCATATTATATATATTATATTATAATTAAGAAATGGAAATATTTTTTTCCTTTGATTATTAGTATTTGATTAGTAGTATTAAAAAAATCTTCATAAATATATTTTAATAATTATACAGTAAATCATACAGATAAATAGTATATAAATCTATCTATATAATTAAAACACAATAACTTTTTTAAAGTTGGATTAAATGATTTTTTTTAAAAAATTAGAAAAATTAGTTTATTATATCTATACTATATATATTATATAGTTTATTATATTAGTTTATAACATCTATAAAAAAAATTTTGAAAAAATTACAATTATGAGAAAAATAGTAAAGATCGTTCTTTACAATTTTCTTTTTATTGTTTTAAATTTTTTATAATAAAAATTTGAAATATACATATTCTCTAGATCATATTAATTACATATGACATTTTATCAAAATTGATTAATGCAAAAATAAATAATAAATATTGAAAAATGTAAAAAAGATTTTTTATGAAAATTTTAAATCTGTAATTTTTATCTATATTTTTAATTGTTTGTAGCTCATAGCAATGTTCGATGAAATAGCAACTAATTTTCATAAAATTTTTAATGTTTATTGAAATGTATTTATGTACATAATTGATATAAATCTTCAAAACTACCTTTTTAATTTTCATTATAAGTTCAGATAAAAATTATAAAGAATATAAAAAGTTATAAAATTTATTATTTTCTTTAATTAATTTTGATCAATTGAAACTTCTTTGAAATTTTTTTTATAATTTTAATTATTTAATTAATTTTTTAAATAAATAATTTTTTTATGTTATATATATAGAAAACTAATTTCAATTTTTCAACAAAAAAATTCAAGTTGTTTTGTCGTTTTCAAAATATAGAAAATGCTTGCATTATCGAAGATGAATCAATTTGAGAAAATTAATCGCGTTTAGATATTGTAAAGATATCATATATATTTCTTTCATAATTGATCATAAAATATGCATTTTATGCAAATATAGAAGTATTATTATATAAAAAAAATATATTGTTTCTAATTGATATTACAAAAGATTAATTATTATATTTTATTATTATATTATTTATTATTACTTATATTTTTTTTTTATTATTATTTCATATTAAGTTTAAAAATATTAATTAATTTTCCATCTTTGTTTTGTAATCATTATTGCTAATTTATTTAAATTTTGAAAAATATAAAAAATAAACTTATATTAATTTAAATAATTAAAAAATTGAAACGAAGATTTGGAATAATTAATATAATTTACAATTCAATTTATCATGATTTTCAACATTTTTTTATTTCAATTTATATGTATAAATAATTATAAATATAATTTGATAAATTTTATTCAATACGAAAATGAATTTGTACTAAAATAATTTATACAAACTGACCTCGAGAGAGGCAACTTGTCTACTGAGCATTTCTGCCTGAAGAAGGGAAACAACAGAGAGTCCACTTCCATTGTTACTCTGTTCTTCGTAACTTGGCCTTCTACAACTTATACGATCCCTTTCATTTTGTACGGCTATATAAAAATAAAATTCAAAAAAATTATTTATATATATATACACGAATTCAAATAAAAAGTAATTTAAACATTTTTTTTGTTATATAAATAGTTCTTGTTTTTGAAATATTTTTTTTTTATTGTATATAGTTTTAAAATTAAGGCAAAAAATTTATTTTAGGAAAGTTTTGTAAACACGAAAAGAAAATGCAAAATATAAAATATCAATACTGTTATTTTATTAAATATATAAATATTATACATAATATATAATTATATAAGTATTAAATCTTTTGCAAATATTATTTTGTACATTAAATACATAAATAATATTTATTTATTTTTATTATATTATTTATTTTTATATATAATAATATTTATTTATTTTTAAATAATACATTTGAAATAATAGATGTAGAAGCAATATGTATTTTTTTTCTTTTCATATCATTCTTTGCTGTAGAAGCAATTTCTATCATTTTATCTTTTATGTAATCTTATAAAAAAAACTAATGACATCAGATCAGTCATGACACAGGATCAGTTCTGATTAATTTGTTTTGAAATTTTGAAAATATTATATTATAAACAAAATATATTATCATGCTGAAATCACATGTTTTATTTATAATCATAAATTTATCATAATTTTCATAAATTTTTATAAATTTCAGTTTTAATTGCAATCCATATGTATTTTTCTATATAATAAAATAATATCAATTTATAAAATCTAAAAAAAATCTAATTTCTTTTTCCACTTTATAATTATCTCAAATAAATTTGCTAAAAAACAATCTCTTGAATTATTTAATTTAAAACAAAAATCAATTTGATATTTTTAATGATTTTTGAAAAAACAGTTTGTTATATTTTATTTGAACCTTGTATGTATATTGAATCTTGTATATATTATGCATTTATTTTAATGATAATAATAATATTTATGAATTCAGAATATGATTATTTAGTAAATAATAAAAATATCTTAAGTCCATATTCTAAGTCTATGTGTCCGTTTTGAGTTTTTTACTTATGCTATATTTTTATCAATTTCATATTCTTTGTTCACTAGTTTTGTATTAATTGCCAACTGTTCAAGCTATCAGTCTTGTCTATTATTTTATATTTTTTAATGTTACATTCTGTCTATTCAATTTTTTCTTCCGTTAGAGAAAATTCGATCTTAACGAAAAAAGAAGTTTGGAGATATGTCCATTTTGCCTGATTATTTGATTGTTCTATCAGATAAAATTTTATATTTACTGTTGAAAAATCCTAGAAAGAATGCGATTTATTTATACGTGCATTTTTGTTTCTAGCCTGCTATTTGTTAATATGAACAGATTCGATTGTGTGATAAAGAAAGACAATAAGATTTATATAATGCATGATTTTTAACAGCATCATATGAAGATAGGTAATCCTAACGAAGGATTCTTTCCCCTTATAAGTCTCATATGATCGTTTTCAATAGTCAACTATCATTACTTTTAACAGTTTTTTCAATCAAGATACTTTTACAGGATCACTTTTTATATTTTTATGTTTGGTTTTTTTTTATTCTACTATATTTGTCATATTCGGTTTAAATCCTTAATTCTAAAAATACGACTGCAATATGGCTATTACTATTGATAATAGCATGACTTTAAATTGGGATATCAATATAAATTTATTAATATTTTTTAAAATTTTTTTTTAAAAATAATTCTCAATTTAAAATCTTTTTTTAAATATAATTATTCAAAGATTATTTCGATTGTAACTGTTTTTAATTCTGTTTCAATTTTTTTAATACATTTCCAATTTATTTTGATCTAATTTAATGAATAATAAAAAATTAATGCATAAACAAAAAATCTGCATTAATTTCTTAAAATTTAATGCAATATTTACTTGAATTTATTATTCTATAGAAATAACAACTATAGATAGTTAATAATTCAAAGTAAATATATATATATATTCTACACTCTGCGAATCTATAAGATATCTTATGATTTTCAATATTTCTCTAAACTAATATAATCTAATATTTATTATAATTTTAATTTTTATTTCAGCGATCAATTAATTTGAAAAATTTTAAATATGAATAAATATTTAATTGATAGAAATAGAATACACATAACAAATTTTAATGAACTTGAAATATATTGTCTAAATTAATTATCAGAAATACTTAATATGTTTACATTTTTTTTTAATTTTTTAATTTATTTTTAAAAATAATTTACATTATATTTTAATAAAATTTAAATAAAATTATATATTAATTTCAAATTAATTTCAAATTTTAGTTACAAAATTCTGAAATTTTATTTTTATTTGTTTATATCATAAGTGGCAAAATTAGAATCATTATAAAGAAATATACTAGAATAGAATTATATTTTCAATGTAATTATTGATTTTAAAAATAAATGACATAACGAAGAATAAAAATAAATTATATATATTTAGACAAAAAACATTATGTTATATTATTATATTAAATTTAAAATATAAATATTCAATATTCAAAAAGAGAAATATTCATAATTAATGTTTCTTAACATTTTTGCTGTGTGGTAATATATATGTTTATAACGATATTTTCCAAATATTTATAATATACAATTTTCAAAATTCAGATAATTTGTAGTTAATATATTATGTATATTAATAAAATTATATATACTTGAAAATAATTTTTGCATATAAAATTAATATTATATTTTCTATTGAGATTTTTATTACAACTATAATATCGAACAGTTTAAATGGCTATTATGTCGTAATTTATTAAAAATTTAACATAATTTAATATTGATATATATTAAATAAGTTGTGGTTTATAAATATAAATATAAATTCAAAAATATTGTTATTAAATTATTATTTTATTGTAATATACTATATTTAATTGTTATATTAAAGTGTTCTATAAGTTTTTTTCTTTTTTTTTGATACGAAATGAATACACATGATATTTGTTGTTTAAGGTGGATTTATTATGTTATATACGAATCGTTTTGCTCTATTACCTTCTTTCATTTTTCAAAAATGGAAGCCTCATTATTCGCGTTATTCCCAAAATTGTTGGAGTTTATTTGCAAAATATTCCTCGAAGTGCGTTTTTATTTCGCTTACGGATTAAAAGTGTTTATCATGGAGAGAATTTTTTAATAACAGGAAGTAATAGATAGAGCAAAATCTGGGAAATACAGAAGATGGTAGAATGTCCCAATCAAATTGTAACAGCTTTCCTCTTATAGTCAACATGCGTTTTTGTATTATGAGTTCATCGGTTTACTAATTTTAGCTGTTTTTCTGTTATGATGTCTTTCAAATTTATCAAGCTGATTATAATATTTTGCAGAATTAATGATTTCATCTTGAAAAAAAAACTCATAGTAGATCTTTCTAATTCCAAAAGAATTTTCTTTGAATGAAATTCAGGCTTTGCGACATTTGAAAGTCTTATCTTTAATCAAAATATTATTATTAATAGTATTATCTTTAAATCAAATGCGTTTTCGATGCACATTTTGGTACAAAATCCAAGTCTCATTTCCAGTGACATTTTTAAAAAAGAATCTCTTTTATGTCACTGAAGAAGGCAATCGCACGTAGAGACGCAGTTCATAAGACCGGTCACATCAATATCTGTAGAACTTAAACTTTACATCGATTGACATATCTCATCTTTATTTATAAGTGATTATGTACTATTTTCTTGGGAATGTAGTGGCATATATTATATCGCGGTTTTTAATGAGTATGGCCTTAGTAAGGTCCGTATCGATCACTGCTGGGCGATCGTAATAGTACTACCACTCTCGTAAACAGTACAAATCTTCTCTGCAATATCATTTGCATAATCACTTTTTTTTTTTAAAACAATGAAGCATAAAATGTCGCTTCTTTTGGCTATCCATATTGAACAGTGTAAAAAAAAGTTTTAAAGGAACTGTGTCACTAACGAAACGTACGAACGTTGAAAGAGACGATTGAAACTAATGCTATAAATGGCTTATAGATAAATCTATATGTTTATAAAAATAGTCAGTCATTTTTAGCATGATGCGAAAGAAACTTATGGGATACCTTAATATTTAGAATTTTATCAATTAAAATTTGATATATTGATATATATTTAATATATTGATATATTGATATATTTTAATTTCAATAGTTTTCATTAATATAGTAATAAAATTGTTACATTTTTACAATCTAAATCAATAATAGATATATCAAATAATAATGATTCAGTTCGACTTTTTAACAAAATTTTTTAACAAAAAGATTAAAAATTTTTCTCAAATAAAAAGATAATCATTACAAATCATATTAAAATTGATAAATGTTTTTGTTTATTCTATCATATTAATTATTTAGTACATGTAAGTTTAAAATAATACAATAGAGTGTATAGTTTATTATAAATTTTAAACATAAAAGTAAAAAAATTTTTTTCTTATCCTTTTATCCTATAATTGATGTTCGAATATTTTCGATAAAATATATGTTAATACATTGATATAATATATGTTAATATGATGATTCATTTTAACGATTTAAATAATTTTTTATGCATTCTGTCATATTAAGAAAAAAAAAACAAAAAAAAAATGAATAAACTATTCGTATGATACTCGTGTGATAAATGCAGTTATTTGATTCTCAAATATTGATATTCAGGGATATTTTTCTTGAGAGTTATGAGAGTATCAAATTGAAATCATTTTTTGATTTCGATCTCTTAGATTATTATTATTTTATATAAACTCAGATATAATATAAAAATAAAATCAAATTTGATTTATCATCATAACATTATTTCTTGTCAAGATATATTACTTTGAAATTAATTTATTTTCAATCTATTAACAATAAAAAATATGTTTATAGTTTATTTTTTTCTAGAAAGCTAATAGAATAAAAATCTGCATTTATATGTATATATACTTTCTTCAATATATCTTTTTGGGATTAAAACAAAATAGTATATAATAATTTTATATTACATGTACATTAAGAATAGAATAATTTCATAAAAAAAATTCTATGATTATAAATCAAATTTCGTTTTATAAAAAAAAATGATGTGATTGATAAAAATATTGGGAAAAAATTATTATTTGTGAATTATTATTTGTGTATTTTTTTAAAAATATAATAAATATTAATATTGTTTTACTCATTTATCTTTGAAATCTAATGTAATAAGCAATTTTTATGATTAAAATATATAAGAAATTTTTCAATTTTCAAACAATAAATAATAATTTATTTATTGTACTTGTATTCTCATTTTGTTAAATATATTTTTTATATAAAAAAATATAAATATAAAAAAAATATATAAAAAAAAGTGCGGTTGATTTTTTTTATATTATTAAGAATAGAATATTTTATATAAATATATATGTAAAATTTATTAATTTATTGTATTAATCTTGGGAAATATTGGAAAAATCATAAAATATGCTATCATTATGTTGCAGACTACATACATATAATTTGAAAAAACATTATTGAAGATTCATTGAATTCAATTTATTCTTCCTGAAAAATAATTTAAAACAAAGATTTTTAATTTTTAATAATGTAGCATTGATTAAATTAAATACAACTATATTAAAATTAAAAAAATTAAAAATATAACTATACTAAAATATACTTATTTCAGTACAATATGTTTAATATTGCATATAAATATTTTTTTATATTATATATGTTTCTCGATTATTAATATGTGAACGGTAGTTATTAATTATACATAACTAAAATTACTAAATTATAATTATAATTATATATATATTTCATGCTCATTGAAATTAATGTGTACTCTATTTTAAAAAATTATTATATTACAATAAATTTTTAAAAATATTTTTTTGATATAAATATTTTTTTTTTTAAAATATTATGAAAATCTAAAATTTCTTTCATTTATGATTAATTCTAATAATTCAAAATAATTTAAAGAGAGAATATATTTTTTTTATTATTATTTTTTTTTAATTGAAAGTAAAAAACAATAAATCAATAAAATTTTTGTGCTCACCTTCCATTTTCATGCCAGCCTTGAAACATTTTCTTAATCTGCAATATCTACATTGATTCCTCTTGTCTTTGTCTATTATACAATTTCTACTAAATCTATAACAAAAAAATATTTTTAGTTATAACTGATTAAAAAGATAATAAAAAAATAACTAAATCTGTAACAAAAAAATATATTTTTAGTTATAACTGATTAAAAAAATAATAAAAAAAAATAAAAAAATAATCACTATGTACAGATTAATTATTATATCTCTTGGATTAATAATTAATTAACTTTAAAAAAAGAAAAAGTAAGCATAAAGCAAAAAAAAAAAAAACAAATTATCAATACGTAATTTGAATTTGTCATGCTGGTCTTATTTAACTTGAAGAATTTTATTCTTTTAACATACGAATTTTATTCTTCAAATAAAAAATCTATTAGTAAGTATAAAACTTTACATGCGAATAATTCCTAAACCAATTAAGATTATTATTTTTCTGTACAAATTTATAAAAATACATAAAAAAAAAAATCCAAAAATTTTTACGTTAATATTTTAAATTAAACTTCTATCAACTATTGTAAAATTTTTAAAATTATAATTAATTTTAAATAATAAAACTTGTGTTTATACCTTATTATTAATATTTTTAAGATAATAGAAATATATGCATATTACAAAATGCATATATATGCATATAATATAAATATATACATTCAAATAAATAATAATTTCATTTTTATTCAAATATAGTCTCGAAGATTATTATTAATTTGCATGTATTAATTACTTTTATGATTAGAATATTTTGTATAATTATTTTTTTTAATGATTTTTGTATATCAATTTATTTGCTATAATATTGATTTATATTTATAATTTCAAAAGTATGATTTTAAAGAAAATAAGTTTAAATATTTTGAATTGTTATAAAAATTAGTAAAAAAATTTACATATTAAAATGTTAAAGAGAAAGGTCACAATTCAAAAAATCATTTACAGAATTTTACTATAATATAGAGAAAAATATTTTCTTTATTTGTTACCTTCAATTCGTTTCTAGAATTATGGTATATAGTAATAAATTTGTATAATAAAACAAAGTTTGCTATTGCAAGTGCGATTGTAAGATGATCAAAAGCAAAGTCCATATGAATACATTTACATTATCACTAAAGTTCGAGATGACAAATTTGGTAAAGTTCTAAGTTCAGAAGATTCTTATAAAATTAAAGAATTCTAAAAATTCGAAAGTTCTAAAGATCCTAAGAATTCGGATGGTTCTAGTGTTTTGAAAGTTTTGAACATTCGGACGGTTCTGGAAATTCTGAGAATTCGAATGATTCTAATATTCTAAAGTTCTGAGATTTCGGACAGTTTTGTCAAAATGCTAATACTCCCTAAAGCCCTTTCCATGCTCATCTTGTGAGCTACAGGTTTTCAGTGGGGTACATAGGTATTCAAAAACATTGTGGACCAGCTCCCTGATTGAGCGATACCCTCAATCTAAGGAAAATTTCTAGAATAAGTTTAAGGTGCTATATCATTTATAAAGTCCGCTGTTTTTCTAGGAAACTGTTTCGTATGTATTTGCAATAATTCTTCTCAAGTAGAATGATGATGATTACTGTTGAGACTAGTATGGTTGGAAATGTCTTAGATCTCAGAATTATTGACATTCCAACCGAATTGTTTCTAAATCTGTAAAGGAAAAAATCGTTCAAATTCTTTTCTCAAAAACGTTACGTTCTTCTCTCAAAACATTATTCTAGCAGCTTATACTATCTGTTTAAAGACATTACCAATAACTTAAAAATTGAAAATTTTGAATTATATTATTATTGTAGCAAATGAGCGATACATATTAAATGAATTTAAAAGTTTTGACAAAAAAGAATTTACGCAATAAATTTATAGTAAATACAATATTTTTCGTCGTAGTACATCTTAGTATTTTTTTTTTTTTTTTTTAATGAGCGATATATATTAAATGAATCTAAAAAATTTTGACAAA